GATGCTCCTTGAAGATCAATCTCTATTTTCATGTTGAGGAGAGTTGGGGACAAGTATAGTGGGGCCCATCTCCTGAGCCCGAAGGGACCCTTTAAAAGACAGCGAGGAGCATGGGTGCTGACAGGGGCCCTATTGAGGACAGTAATGACTTGTACATCTCCATTTTCTATGCGCTTGTGTGACAGCCTGGGTCAGGATATGCCAGCAAATACACATTTACAGCTACATAGGCCACTGCAGGAGGGCATAAACATATTAGTGCACCTGCTGAATTAGAAGCACAGCAGCCTATTCTAACAGTAATCCAAGTACAGTGCAGCTCCTTGAATAGGCTGGGCTGTCTGACCCTAGGATTAGTTGCTGCTGTAAACCATTACTGAAGCTAAGTGCTGATGTCAACATTTCCACTAACAACATTGATTAATCTATAGCTCCCTATTTACTTCAGGGGTACCCCCCCCCCCCCCCCCCCCTCCTTTTTTTTTTTTTTTGGTCATTCAACCTACAGCAAGCGCACATTGTGTGATTAAACAACCCACCGCTGACACTCTGCTTTCAGTGTTGGGAATTAGTGATCAGTAGCATGATTGTAGCTCTGATGTTTTCAAAACAGAGTAGCATTTCAGGCAATGAACTCCTTTTTCCCCCATGAGTAGCAAATGTTACCCCATGGTAACAAAGCACTCAGAAAAGCACTTTTTTTATTAAGGTAATAATCATGCTTGGCAAAAATGTCTAAATTGTATCGGTTAATAAATAATGAACAATTTAAACAAAATCGGTTTGATTCGTTTATTTTTTTCCTTTAGCAATATATGGAAAATAAAATGTTTATTACAATAATTTTATTAAAAACGTGTATATATATATATATATATATATATATATATATATATATATATATATATATATATGTTTTATACATAATATTTAGACACAATTTTGGTTAAATGTTGCTGTTCATCAGTACGTTTTTGTTTATTTGTGTAAATTATGGTGGATTCTATTTTTTATTTAATTTTTTGTGATTATTTTATTGTGATTAGTATAGGTTCTCATTCTTTTTGGGGCCAGCTATTTTATTATATTATATTAATCATCTTTAGTTGAATATAATTTTTAATTACATACATGTAATTGAATTGTTTTCAATTATTAGCTTGTAGGCTGCCAAGCTACAGTTTCAAAGTGCCTGATCTAAGGGCAGGAGAGAGTAGCGAAGACAGAGCCCGAGAGTGATGCGTGTATCTGTGACAGAGAGACAGATTGTGCTGTGTATCACCCCAGACTTCATCAGCTGCACTGAACTGATGATATATGTGAGACGCTGAAGGTGAAGAGGCCTCTCTCTCTCTCTCTCACTCTGTCTGTCTCTACACCCCCATGAACCGGTCGGCCGTGTGAAGAGAGAAAGAGGCTGCCAGCTACACAGCCTGACTGATTGCTACAGATGCTCTTCCTCAAGTACCGCGAGTTACATCCTCGCCACAGCAGGTCTTCGGGGACAAACAATAGCACCTGTTCCTCATAAGATGGGGCTCGTTCATGTATCTTTAATGAACTTTAGGGCAGATGGCGAGAAATGGCATTATCCCATCCTCTGGTTCTAAGGATCCGATAAGACAAAGGGCAGATAGGAGCCAGACCTACAATGGGCTGAGTTTATGAGGTTCGGAGCTTCCACAGGCCTGAGCTTTCCTCCTCACATCTGCTCCACTTCATTCTTTCACGCTCTTGAAGATCTGACTGGCAATACTAATGCTGCAGGCAGCCAGCCGCCTGGCACACTGACGGAGGGAGGGGTGAAATATCAGGGCTCAGATACACAAATACGGGTGAGCATGTTCATTCGTACCATGGATACTGAATATAATGAGCGGCATTAGAAATGAATCGAACACTTTAGACTATTCCGTTTATGATGCTGTAGATATATTTATGAGCCAGACTGTTTATTATTTATCTGTAAGAGATGAATTAGGCACAAGGTGATGTGAAATTTAGTTGTTTATGGTTACAGAGTAGCGTGTGTATATTGTGTGTATATTGTGTGTGAGCAGGTGTATTCTTATATCTGTCTTATTATTCTTATATCTTATATCTGTGTGTACTTAGGCTTTCTTATATATATTTCTTATATCTTATCGTAAAACTCTTTGTTTTTAAAAAACTTTTTTTAAATTATCATAAATTTAATTATCTAAGTTTTCATTTTTGTCTATCATGTTATATCTATGTTTTATTCATTCATTTTAATTAATATTTAATTCATAAATTTGATAAGTTAAGTAATATAAATATAAATATAATTAGTTAAGAATTATCATATTTCTCTTTGAAGTACTACTTTTCAGTAATTCATTTTATTTCATTTTTTATGAATTAATAAATAAGAGAAATTAATAAAATAAGAAATGTAATAAATATTTTAAAATATGAAAAAAAACGATTTACATTTCCAAGAAAATGAATTAAAACAGTATTAAACTAATATTAAGCCTATTTTTTGTATTCATTTATCATAGTTATTAATTCATTATTCCCTATATATATATATATATATATACTATATGTGTGTTTGTGTTTTTAGAAACTATTATCATGATATTTAACGTTGGTGTGGTTTAATTTTTCTTATAAGCATGCATGATGCATGCATGTTGTATATGTCTATGTGAAGAGAGAGAGAGAGAGAAGGACAGACATAGAGAGTCAGATAGATGCAGTGACTGAATAAGAGAGACTGACACATATAATAAGTGAGCTTCAATGCAGAATGCGAAATGCAATTTTTCAAAATCCATCTGTCTAAGTGTAAGCACTTTCCATTCCATTCTCTATTCCATTCTCTATTAGCAGTCAAAGCAAATTGCCAGTGATCATCTTTAAATCTTTATCTGCATTGTCTGCTCAGCTCCACCGGTCTACGTTAATTGACAGGCTTGAAAGCTAACCTTCACTATTAGTCCCCACTTTAACGACGCTTATTTGATTTGCCACTCACAGATGTGGCGTGTGTAAATTAAAGTTTAATGTAAAGGCCTCATTACTGTAAATCACAACCTCTCAAACTGAGGGCAATTTATCTGTTTGTACTGTCTCTTTTTCTTTTTCTTGCTGTTTGCACCTTTTGAAACAGCATTAGGGAATTCAATTTGATTAGCAGATGTATTGTTAGCATTGTTAGTCAGTTTGTTAGTTTCAAATGATGTCTAATTCTAGGTTGTTTTAAATTATTTATATTTGAATTAAATAAGACATTGATGATATAATTTAGGAACAGATGGGATAAGGCGTAGCAGGCCAGGTGTTTTTGTCATTACTATGTGAGCCTCTGTGCAGGACTATGTGAAATGACATGTTGAGGAACAGTTGTGTTTTGGTTCCACTTTAAAAGCAGCTGTTGTATGTAATACTGTGGCTTTAAACTGATTTGTCTTGCAAGGGTAATGTGAATAAGGCTAATGGCAATTATGTATGTGACTGACCTTAGCGGCCTTCTGAAGGAGAACAATTTACATGGTCAGAGCCTTTTCTAAAGCACTTAAATGTATCTGAGATAGTATAAGACGGTAGTTGGTGACGTCACAGACACAATTTATCTTTTCTGCCTAATAGCTCCTTTCACTCCACTTACATTTTGATTCACCACACATGCAAGCAAACCTTTTCACAAACACATCTATAAGGTCATGTTAAAGAGCCCTCTGATCTCTTTCATTCAGCATTTTTGTCACATCTGTAAAATACCAAAAAGAAAAAAAAAACTGCAGTTCTTTCACTTTGGCACAGTCTCAACTCTGTATATGCACTTTTTAAAGTGCAACACTCTATAAACAGAAAAGTGCAGGATTTTTCCTATTTATTTTTGCTTAGGAGAACTCACTTAGTCCGAATCAATGAAGTGGACCTGAACACTTGTTTATCACCTGGGGAACAGGCCCTACTGAACTCTAACATTAGGCGCTCATAAGGCGAAAGCAGCATTAAAAAAACAGAGATCGCACAGACCTCAGCTAGAAATGTTGAGCAGAAAGTGGTTCCTCAGAGCAGGTTGATTTCATGCCCCAATGCTGCAGCAGTAATTGCGTCCAGACCGGTTTTTATTGCAGGCTGATTTTAAAGAGCGATGAATGGAGAAACATTCTATAATGTGTTTATTTTGGGGGGGGCTGACCTTTATTAACCCGTTCTCCGGTTGGGCTCCCCAGAGGCGGGTCGACTCGCCTGCATTAACTCTGCGCTGGCCCACAGTAGCGGCGCTGCAGCCTGTCACCCACAGGCCGGAAGCAGAGAATGACAGCTAGATTGGGTCCGGCCAACACTCCACAAACATGTGTTTTCAAACTTCGATGGGAAGCCGCTCAGATCCCTAAATACACACAGACTTCTCATTTTCGTTGTCTCTAGTTCAGCGTGTCTGTTTTTACTCTTACACAGAGCTAATGCTATCCTTATGGACACCATTAACGTTCTCTTTATTTTGCAATAAAGCCGGAATAAAGATGAACATGGTTGAGAGCGTTTGAAAGGCACCACACGCGATGCCAGGTGTCGACGTTATACATGAAATATCAGAAATACACGAGCTTTTGGGCTCATTCCATCATTTTCACAGCTGAAAACAGGTGCTGTAAATTACTGGCCTCCCTTGGGAATGTATCAATGACCTTCCAAGAACAAGAGCTGTATTTCTAAAAGGATCCACATCTTCTGTCAGTCTCAAGTTTTATAAGCAGTGTCTACCTAACATTTCTAATTCTATCTAATAACGTATGTAGGTATTAACCTAACAACCTTAACACTGAATCAGGTGTTTATGACAAATATGAAAATAAACACTGCTGTATATGTGTGTGTGATGGTTTCTTTGAAGCATTATGGTGCGATTAAGTGCAGGTATTTGGTGAGCGTGTGCGGGTTGGACAGGGGTCAGAAAATGAGCGGTGCTGTCAGGCTGTGTTAGGCTCCTGTGTGATCTCCTCTCTCTCTGTGTTCAGCAGGTCCAGGGTCACATGCCTCCACTCATGATCCCCATTTTTCCACACGACCAGCGCACTCTGGCAGCGGCCGCTGCAGCCCAGCAGGGCTTCCTCTTCCCCCCAGGCATGTCCTATAAGCCAGGTAAGAGAACACACTTAAGCTCTCTGAGTTTCCTCTCCACATCTTTGTTCCTGTTGCTCCTTGCACACTTGGCATAAAAGGTTTTTCTGAAAATGCTTAAAAAGACATCCTCACAACCATTTCTGAAAATGCTGAAAATGTCATCCTCACAACCAATTTCCAATACCCAAAGTTTAAATATTTATATTAAAATATGAATACATTTATATTAAATGTATGTATTTTAAAATAATAATTAATGTTATTACAAATAATAATGTTACACTTTGAGTTCACCCAAATAATGAAAATGTCATACCAAACCTATATGACTGGTGGAAAACAAAAGATGTTTCAACTTTTTTTTGTCCATACAGTGAGTCATTGGGGTCCAATGATGATTTGGACCCATTTTTCAAAATATTTTCTTTTATGTTTCACAAATGAAAAAAAGTCATACAGGTTTGCAACAGACAGAATTTTTTATTTTTTGGTGAACAACCTCTTTACATATTTAAAAGTTTCAAATTTATTTTGTCAGGATAAAAAAAAAAAAAAAGGATGATAAACACTACTCTCTCACAACTGTGTTTTTGAGGGTATACAATAATGTTAACAGGTTCCTTCAGGCTGTCTTTTATTTCTAGTATGTTTTTTTCTGCTTCACCATCCTTCACTATACCTCAGGGGAACTTACAAGTCACTTTTGAGCTTGCTTTACCTCCTTATGTCTTTCAGTCTTCCTCAGCACATATTTTATCATTGCTTGATTTCCCTGACCGAATCATAGCATTGTTTTAAAGGGCCCACCCCTTTGGATTCAGAGAGCAGAACATCAAGCCCTTCTTGTCAAGGCAATTAATTCTGAACACTGTGAAGTGTATCACCTCAATGAAGCAGCCTGCTTTGGCAGTGTTCAAGACGTTTCGAGCCTTCAGAACAATAGATGGCGGGAATGAGGGCTGGAATATAAACACTGTCAGCATATAAGGGTTTAAACTTCATGGGCCATAAATCTGCTATTTTTTTAATATAATACTCTCTATGACCCTGTAAATGTTATTATATACAGTACATTTATAGTATTGATATGCACGTTTAGTCACCTTTGTGAGGAACATGTCATTGGCACTGATCTGTAGATGCTGAAGGCATATAGATTATAATAAATTAGCGTTTTATCACTATCCCATATAATTTTCTGTTTCTTAAGAAAAAACTAAAAAAACAGGAAGGTGACATCCAGTAGTGCACATTTTCCATTTTAGAACCGAAGGGCCTCTGGTGAAGCAGCTGTCGTACTTGTCCTGGCATGCCTTTTTTCTCCTTTTGTGAAAAAGAGAATTGCTCCTCACGCAAGCATTGTAAATTCAAAAACAAATTTGTAAGAAAATGCTACAACACGTACTGTAGGCTGACTCACTGCCAGTATCCCTCAACCTCATATCCAGCCATTGTTCTGGGGTTTTGGGATGTGCCAGTCTAAGTTTCTGTAACTAAACAGTTAAAAGCATATCCTTGCCTCCCAAGGGATCAGTAGCATGTGGGTGCATTTCCTTCTTTCTATTATTTTACTTTATTTTTCCCTCTTTTCTTTACCACAGATTGCTGTTGAGCAAAATAAAAATAGCAAAGTAATGCTTTTTCAGTGTAGCTGCTGATTGTTAGATCTAACACAGAAAAGGAACATCAATTAAGACAAAAATTTAAATCAGAATTTTCAAAGAAAAACGAAATGATGCAGCTCTGTAAAGAAAGCTTTCCTTTTGTCTTCAAAGTATGCCTTTAGAAACCACGTTTGTTGTCAGCACCTCATCAAAAGGTGAATATACAAGAAAAGAGAGAGAGAGCTAGACAGAGAGATGGATAAGAGGGAGGAAAGCTTCAGAAGTCAGCAGGTGAGAGTTAGATTATTACAGGGTGTGGTAGAGCAGCTAATAAATTAAGTAAAAAGGTATATGATGGAACATAAAGTCAGCTATTTTGGAACTACAAAGGCATGACAGGTTGAACAAAGAGCCTGAGGGCTTTCTTTTCCCCAGTTTGATTTTTTAATATGTTTGACATGGAAAGTGCTTTAGTACAAATAACAGCAGCTGTAATGGAATCCTTGGCGTGTGTAAAGCACTTGCATTATTCATAATTTGCTAAACAGCAGAGGGGAGAAAGTTTAGGACATAGCTTATTGCCATTTGTGCGCATGACTCGACTTATTGCCACAGATAATGCTAGGACTCATTGCTGTTTGGGATGCCCAGCGTGGGGCGGCCCGGCCGGGTCAGTGCAAGCAGCAGAGGCCCGATGCTGATGGCCCTAACCCTGCAGTGAAACAGCAGACATCCCCTTTCTCACACACTGTGCTCAATGGCTTGGGCTTGGTATAAAGAGAGGACTCAGGTCATTCTTTACTCAAATAGACTCGCGGAGAATAGCGATGATCCCCCCCGTGCAGACATGAACACATACGTATTGCTAATCGTGGATGTTCACTGCCTTTGGGATGCAATGAACCCTCGATGCCCCCGCTGGTGGGACCGCTGACAGCCAGTGATTGTACAGAACAGATACGTTCATGTCGAAGAGAAAGTGCATCAAACGTTTAGACATTGATACACTACATTAGCAATTGATGATCCCAGTTTTGAGCAGATATATCAGGGTTGTCCCTCATTCAGAACTGAATTGAGAATTATTTTTAAATTCCTGAATATGGATGCAGTATTATTTGTAATAACATTAATTATTATTGTATTATATATATATATATACATTTAAATGCAATTTATATTTGAATTTCAGACTGTAAATTGAAAATGAATTGAAATTCAAGGAAATGCATATAATTGTAAAGGTTGATAGGCGATGGATGGATGGATAGATCAACTTCCTATGGGGTATGCCAATTAAATTCAGATTTACACTCATGAATTCAAGGGAGCAAATTCTTCAATTGCTATAGATAATTTTCAGTCACTGTTCCAAGTAGTTTTGTTTTATTTTTATTTTTATTTTATTTTTATTTTTATTTTATTTTATATGCCTTTTTATTTTATAGGAGGCTGGAGTGTAGAGAGGAAAGTATGGTTAAGAGACAGAGGAACATGACGTGGCCAACAGCTCTTACATGTTCTGAGCATGTGTTGGACCACAACTCTTAGCAAAGTATTTTTTTTTAATAGAAAAGAGCCTTCAATCTTGGCTTGGAAGAAGGGCTCTAAGCAGGGTAGACACTGAGCACTTTAACAAAACCGTTGATTTCAAAGAGAGCCCCGCTCTTCTTGAATATTACACATGCTTGGCTCTTGGCATCAGGTGGAGTAGAAGTGAAGAGGTTGCAGAAGGAGCACTCTGCCATCCAGTCCTCCCCGTTCTCCTCCACCTTTTAATTAGCCTCGCAGCCCTCGCTTATTATGGAGCACCGGCCCGCATCAGCGGTAGTGGTGCCCTGTGCAAGACCCTTGGGTCCTTCTACTTGAAGAGGCCCCGTTCCAAGTTTGGCAGTCCAAATTGGCCTCGATTTGCAGCATGATACCTGGCTGAAAGAGAATACACTATGAAGCTCTCTAGTAATGCCTTTATGTGAGAAAGCACTTTAAGCATTATTTAGCAGCCCACCATTTTATAAAGTAAAGAAGACAGAGGAGTATTGTGTTCTGAGCTGAGAGAGTTTGCCCTTTCCTGCTTGGTGTCTTTGCAAAGCTTGCTTTGATAAGGTACCTCTCTAATAAAGTGATGCTATCACAGGGGAATTACATGATGTGTGAGCCAACAGCATAGTTTTCAGTCACTTTTGGATACTCTGGCTGGCCCTGTTACATGGGGATAGCTTATGTTCAGTGTTGGTCAGTTTTGTATATAAATATGTGTGTGTGTATATATATTCATAGTTGCTTGATTTTTTTTTTAAAACATTTCAGTGCATCAATAATATCTTGTTGCATTATTATTATTATTATTATTATTAACATATTAATTTAGCAGATACTTACAATGGAGGAATACAACCAAGCAATTCATCCTAAGGAGGCAGAAATGTAAATTTGTCTTTGTTAGTTTTTTGTGATCAATGACAAAATCATACAAAGTTATTAATCAACATTTTTTTCAGTTATTTCGTTTGATGAGACTAAAGGGGGTCGCACACCGGACGAGAAGCGCAGCGCCGCGTCGCGCAGCGCCAGGTCTTTAAAATTCGAACACATTATTCTCTATGAGTGTACACACACCGGCGGCGCCATTCGGCGTCTGTCCGCGGCGCCCAGCTATGGCTCAGGATCTTGTTCAAAACCCTGCCGCGCCACAGAGCGCCATTTGCATAGTTTTATATTAAATTTACATTTATTTGTCTCAAATCGTCGTTAATGTACATGGCTTCACCCCGTGCTGTTTTCACTCGGGTTAGCTAAACGCTAGCTAAATAAATACTATTGTATTATGTGACATAGTTGCCTAGACAACGGATAACGTTACAACAAAATAACAGACTCAACGTGATAGACACTTTTACTTGATTAACGTTCAAACATCAGCTATTATTCAATGAACATAAAAAAATAAATAATTAATCAAGATAAAACACACATCGTGCAGCTCTTCTACCAGGAGTTGATTCAAAATTGTGCTCGCGCCATTAGAATGTGCGCGTCCGGTGTGCGATACCTGGAGTTGTCCTAGACGTGGCGCGACGCGGCGCTGCGCTTCTCGTCCGGTGTGCGACCCACTTAATACTGCCTAGTAGTACCTAGCAGTCTTCTCAGAGGATGCTGAATCAGATCTGAGGGAGCCCACTATTGGGCCCCAAGGTGGGTTGATAATAAGCTCTTGGCCCTTGGCCTTAGCAGGCTTGGAGAAACAACCCGATTGGGCAGTGGCGTCACTGGAGCCTCCCTGGCATCCACTGGTTGGAGACAGGCAGAATTGTATGAAGGTAAATCAGTAGCTAAACTCGAGAGCACGTAGATGTGAATTTGAGAACTTGTACAATAAATATTCGTACATGTACGCGAACATTTACACTCACAGCTCCGATGTGAAAACCTGTAAAATAAAAATCTGAACTTGAACGCTGAGATTTGCACTCGCAGACTATAGTCACAAACCTGTATTCTGAATTTGAAGCTGCAGACAAGCAGTCACAAATGTGTAAAATGCCATTCACAGAAATACAATGACAGTCACAAACATGTAAAATATATTTGCACTTCTTCTAACATTCAAATTCGCAGTACAACCTCAAATTGGCACTTGCAACTTCTCAAACCTGTCACTGCAAGTTCAAATTTTGCGCCTTGACTTTTGCTACTCTTTTCGCGATATATGAGGTGCAAAACTGATTTGTGCACTTGTAACTCAGTGGCGGTGAGAGCAGAAGGGGGGCGGGAGCGGGGGTGTTCGAAGGAGCCGTTTTATTTGTTGGCGCCTAGCCAATGAAATGGGACTTCTATTGTACGCGATGATGTTACGAAACCCGGCTCCTCGTGGATGTTCTGAACCACTAACATGGCTTAATGCATTAGACTGATTTAAAAGACATAAATGATATTATCAAACTTAGTAAACACAATAATGCATACTACAGAAAAGCAGATTAGCACAGAATATGAACGCAACACGTTAACTTAAGACAGTGGTATTAAAAGACCAAACTCAGGAAACACCATAAAAACTCGTTTAATTGTACGTTAAGCATTTCCTCTCATTGAAAACCAAGAAAACGCTTAATGATGCTTAATGGACCAACAGTTATGTATAAAAAAAATAAAATAAAATTGTTATACATTATTAATAAAACAAAGGCAGCTGGTTTATTTGCACTGAACACAAATTTGCTTTCTTTCGTCATATTCTGTGCTCATCTGCTTTTCTGTAGTATGCATTATTAGTATGGTGTTAATATCACTAAGTTTGATTATATCATTTATGTCTTTTAAATCAGTCTAATGCATTAAGCCATATTAGCGTTTCAGAACATCCACGAGGAGGCGGGTTTCGTGACATCATCGCGTACAATAGAAGTCCCATTTCATTGGCTAGGCGCCAACCAATAAGACGGCTACTTCGAACACCCCCGCTCCCGCCCCCCTTCCGCTCTCACCGCCACTGAGTTACAAGTGCACAAATCAGTTTTGCACCTCATGTATCGTGAAAAGAGTAGCAAAAGTCAAGGCGCGAAATTTGAACTTGCAGTGACAGATTTGAGAAGTTGCAAGTGCCAATTTGAGGTTGTATTGCGAATTTGAATGTTAGAAGAAGTGCAAATATATTTTACATGTTTGTGACTGTCATTGTATTTCTGTGAATGGCATTTTACACATTTGTGACTGCTTGTCTGCAGCTTCAGATTCAGAATACAGGTTTGTGACTATAGTCTGCGAGTGCAAATCTCAACATTCAACTTCAGATTTTTATTTTACAGGTTTTCATATTGGAGCTGTGAGTGTAAATGTTCACATACAAGTACGAATATTTATTGTACAAGTTCTCAAATTCACATCTACGTGCTCTCGAGTTTAGCTACTGATTTACCTTCATAGAATTGCCTTTTAAACTAGATTCACTTTCAGAGACTGACATAGAGAAAGCTGGCAGCCGATCTCGTACTTGAGACACTGGCTGCCCACCCATCCCCCAAACCATTAGCCTTGGCCTAGTGTTCTCGGCTGGCACTTGACCTGCCCATGGCTCACATGACATATCACCACAAGCACAGAGAGAGAGAGAGAGAGAGAGAGAGAGAGAGAGAGAGAGAGAGAGAGAGAGAGAGAGAGAGAGAGAGAGAGAGAGAGAACCTTGAACGATAATGACCCCCTCTACGACTCTCATTGCACTATTTGAAATCTGTTCAGTTGCGTTCTTTATTCACTTCTGCCATAGGGTGGGATTGAATTACCTGGCTGCATCACAATGTGCTGTGGTCAGTCAGAAGTGTGTGTGGTGGTGGTGGGGGTGGGTGGGTATATGTTTACCCCCATGCCTGTGGCTTAATAGCTCCATATGTTTGTGAGAAGAAGTGACAGGCAGAAGTGGGGTCTGAAAGAGGGCCAATTCCCCTTCCATGGGCACACTTCATTCAAAGCTCTGCTTTTAGAGCCAGAGACAGTGTTATAAACACCAACCACACTAAAAAAACACATCTCACACACTTAACACACTTTCAGATGCACTCATTTCTGGATAAGTTTACCAGAGCTGTATCTCCAGGGGTTTTGTGTTTGAACCTGTATGTTTTTTTTTAATCTGATTCCTTTTGTGTTTTCTGTTCGCCCTATTGTATTGCTTAATTCTATTGGATACGTTTGATCTCATGATGAAAATGTCCTACAAGCTGTATTTGCATAAAATTTGGTCTTGTTAAAACCTGTTGAAGTTGGCGTCAACACCCTCTCTCACACATTCATATATTATTGTGCCAGATCACATTGTAAAACACATAATGGCATGTAGAACAATAGTTTGACTATTCAAGCTTCTCACAGAACATGATATTGCGAAAAATAAAGTAAAATGGCATAACCTTGCGCACATTGCACACCCAGATGAGAAAGGACTGTGCAAGTGTGGGCAAAGATAAAAAAGGGAAAAGGCAAAAAACCCGAGTGTGATAGAAAGAGAGACGTTCCAGTGTAAATCCCACTCTGCTCTGGCCAGCTAACTCTTTTGTGAGTGCAGATGTTTGGGCTGAGTGCCGAGGCTGGGTGCAGGCAGGCCCACAGGAACTGTGTTGGCACTTGTCTGGCCTGCCGTTGGGCCGTTCATTGTCTCAACCTGTGCGCATTGTTCACTATCTCCCCCTCCTCCTTTCTCCGACAGGTGATAACTACCCGGTGCAGTTCATTCCATCCACAATGGCAGCTGCTGCCGCGTCAGGACTCAACCCTCTGCAGCTCCAGGTATGTACAGTCACAAAAGAATTTACGGGCAGTGGGCCAAGCCCTCAGCACCGTGTGAGCAAACCAGCTGTATGCTAAATAACAAGTTAGAGCTAAATCACTCACACACCGGTCCACCCCTACAAGCTTAACACCTTCCATCTGCAATATAGCCCGTTTTTACAGCGCAGCCTTGCATGGGAACCGGGTGTTGCATCAATGAAGAGTATTTCAGGGGCCCCTCATACCTGAATTGCTTTATCTGTTGACACCGTTCAGAGTAACTTTGTGGTATCATAATGATGGAAGAGCTTCCAAGACCCTCTTGGGAACATTTCTCAAATGCAGTCTTCATGTACTTTAATATAGATTAATATTTTCATTCAAGTTTATCTCATCATGTTTGTCATTTTAATTGTTTCTTTTAATCGTGATTTTTGCTTTGTTTACTTTGTCACACACATAGAGCAAGTTTTTTTTTTAGCTGATAGCAAGAGAAAGGGTTTTATTACAGCAACTAATGTCATTAGTCCTTCCTGTTTAGATTATTTGTAAAATTTGTGCTTTGAAACTTCTTAAATGTTCCTTGAAATTCTTCAAACAAAGACTGAACAAGAACGAGAGTTGAAGGCGATACAGCTCACAGCCCTCTGTGGATTCATTTATACATTTTTTTCCTCACTTTTTTTATTCATAGACAGTTGTTGTTTTGTCAACAACAATGGTAAGTGGTTGATAGCAATTAGACATTAGGCTCTCTGATAGCTAGGAATGTTACAAAACAAAGCTAAGAGCGGAGGGAGGACGACGTGCAAGGGAGAGAGGATAGGGGAGCGTTTTGTACTTTTTCTTCTTGCTGATACATGTGCACAATTTGTCCTTCGGAGCTTATCGCTCTCAGCATTAATGAGCCTTGGCAAGTTGGAACAATGCTTGCAGCTGGAGCTAGAAAAGCCTTTGCTATAGCATGCGACTTTGGGGAGAACAATCATCTGCGTTGAAGGTGTGGAATGTGTCTATTCATGTTAAAGTGTATGTAAAAATGTGCGTGCACTTGTATGAGCGAGCTTAAAGGGGAGGGAGCTTGTGAGCAAAAACTGATTAAAAATCATTTCGATCCGTACGTGTAAGCGTGTCTTCCATCCTCCCTTAGGAGTAAGCTGCGGTGGCTGAACCAGGGCCCGTCCCGTCTATTTATAGCGTTCCTGATGGGCCAGCTCGAGTCTGGGATAGTCATATATCAGGAGACACCGAGACCCCTTAGCCATTCATTGTGATAATACATTTAACTCTGGGAATGGGCTGAGAGCAAGTCTCTGAGTCCATGACTTTGCTGACCTTTAGAAAATACCGTAAACACAAATGAGTTGCATTCCCATTAATTGAAGTTTGTCTTTCAGCCACAGATTTAGCCAAGCAGATTGGTATTTACTCTCGGTACCCTTCAGTCTAAGAAAGCCCTGCTAGTCAAACATACCCTTTCCGCCTCAACTGAGCAGCTATCATCATGCGAAAGATGATTAAAAACGATCAGGACAGAGATAGGGGAGATGAATCTCATTCCGAGTGCAACAATAATGCCATTAGTGCTCGCGTTGCACCCATCTGGCTAAGACTGAGAAGTTGCGTGCAGAAGTTCACTATGAGGACAAAAGGACAGGCAAAACATTATTTTGAAATAAAATGACAACCGACAGATGCAGAAGAGGTTGTAATTTAGTGGGGAAGGGCGATTTGGATTGATTTGTTCGGCAGTTAGCACGTGCTAGCATGCGGATGTGGCTGCTTTTGTCTCTCTTCCTTCTTTGAGCAGAAATAACAAGCTTTGAATTCCTGTCTTAAATCAAAGGAAGCAAATCTTTTAAAATATGTCAGATAAATGAGGGCCAGCGCTAGGTCAGTGTTAATGAGAGGTATGTATGGATTTGTCTGCTGTGTCTGGGTGATTATCTGTAATGGCAGTATCACTGAGCTCTTGCCGCTTATGCATCACTGATCCGCTCGGTGGGAGTGACCTCACCTCTGAGATCCCCACTTCCTGTGCCAGTGGACCCACCCACCCTGTGCCAATGGCTGGGTGCATCTGTCTAATTAGAATATCTTCACTTGTCAGCAATTCTGGCAAGGTATCATTTTCCCTAATTTGCTCAGTTTAGACTGGGGAAATATATGAACCTTAAAAAATGCTCTGATTGGAAAGGAATTAATTCCCACAATGCTGTGCTCGGTCATGCAGGAAGAGGGACGGCCGCTCTGCCAGTCTTAATGTTGTCGATGCTACCACTCGCAATTTTACCGTGTCATAACAGTAAGTGGGCTGCCTGTGGAATCTTTCTTTCTCTCTCTTTCTGTCTTGTCTCTTCCCCGTCACCCTGGCCCGTCCTCAGGCTAACAAAAGGCCTCAGGTCCCGGGGAGTGGAAATGAAAGCGGCCAGGCGATCTGAGAGCGTAATTTGCTTGTCAATACATTTCCCTCGACTGGCGGCACACGCGTACATGCGCCCGCTTGTCACCCCGTGTCCCAACGCGGCAAGTAATTTCGTTCAATGCATTCCTGACAGATTGGCCCTTGTCTGCAAGTCACCAGAGAAAAGCCGCTCAAACTATTCCCCAGACCGCATGCCTCTCTTCATTAAGACCCTCTCAGGGTTCAGGATGAGCTGGGCACGGCCTCAAAACAATGGCTCCATCCCCCGGCGTTGCCTCCCTATTAGAAGTGACACCTCTCACCTCCAGGCGGAAATTGTTTTCGGATTGTAGCCGTATGACCAGACAGTCTAAAAGGAATTATCCTAATTCTACAAAAGAATTCGATTTTATTTTTTGTCTGTTTGAATTGCCACTTAATTTGGTAGCATTCAAGATCACCTTACATCAATTGCTTAGAGGAAAACAATTTCCTTAAAGCCATTCTCTCCTTGATATATTGTTTTGCCACAAGTTCTATACAGATCTCAAGTCAACTTGTGAGAGGCCTGTTTTTTATCATTGGAAGCAGTCTTTTGGGTTTAAGCAGTCCTAAAATAAAACATCATGGGATAAAAGCAGAACATCTGGGTTTCCCCGTGGCATATAATAGAGGGAGCAAACACAAATAGGACATGCTGGCCTCTCTCTTGCTCTCTCTTTTACTCTCTTTTCTTTTCTCCCTCCTTTCATTATTTCCTAATCCTTTTCTTTCTTCATGAAATTAATTTACTGTTGAATTTAAGGAGCATATTTAAAAAAAATATGATATATATTCTGGGGTCTAATTCTGGAGAGTCTCTGAAAGTCTTTGAGACCCCAATCAGAACACGAGGGTTAAATCTGTGCAGCATTTCTTAAGCTAAAGGTGCTTTATTTCATGCTATCATTACTGCTAAAACATTTGAAGACTGTACTTGAGAGTCAGGGAAACTTCTCTGAAACTTCTGCTGGGGTTGAGAAAACGAGGGAAGAGAGGAAATACTGTGTTATCTTTTGTTTGGATGCTCATGTCTCTGCATTCCGGATGTGTGGAGGGAGCAGGGCTTTCTGCCACGGCTAACAAGTGGAGCACTTTGACTATGAGCTGCAGAAATGAGAGCGAACAGCTGCTGGTGTGATTGAGGAGGAGAGGAGAGAAAGAAGAAGAGGGGAAAGGAGTGGCGCGTGCTGTGCGAGACAGACTCCGGAGAGATAGCCAGAAGACGAGAGGCAGTATGAGCACAGGGCAGAGGCTCTAATGGGAGGGATAGGTGGACATCTGGATGGACAGAATTGTAAAACAGAGAGGCAAGTAAACAGATAGTGAGAGATGCAAACCATGTAGCTTAAGATGACCACCTGGGTTGATGCCAGCGCAGGGTTATTAGCATAGGCTTGTGTAGCAGAAATTTATAGGACACATCATACCTTTCAAGTTAGTGAAGCTATGTAAGGATAAAGATGGAAAAAACTAGGCGGATGGGTTGAGATGGGGGGAGGGAGCAGGCTGGGCGCCAGCAGATGGGACAGATGTCTGGCCATACTGGAAAGCATTGGCGCAGCGCACTAGCGCACCCCTGCTTCCCTTTCTGACATCTGGGCCAGCCTGGGTCAGCCCGCCTGCCTTGGGCAATGAGCCTGGACAAGCCTTGTGGCAAACGGGCGCGGGCGCCCCAATGCTACTGAAATGGCAGAGTCGACCATGCGGCAGTAACAGTCCTCTCTCCATGCTTCTGCTCAGCTGTGGCCATAGTGAGTGCCGAGGAGAACACACAAACACAAGAGCCTTAGTGTATGTAATTTAGTGTGTATAGTGTGCGTATGTTTTGACGTATGATAATGTATCAGTGGGGTTTTTTGGCCTCGTGGATACGTTTCAGTGAGCTCAGACTGGGGCCTATGCGGATAAGTTGGAGAGACAGTCATGCACCATTATAGCTAGAAGCACTTAAAATTGGCTAAATCTGCCACTGTATTTCACAGCATCTGCCAGAGTGCAGTCAGCCCCTCTCTTTGAGAGCAAACAAGAGACTCAAGTTGTTGTTTTTTTCCTTGCATGATGGCCTATTTGCCCATCATATGTGCTGAAATCTAGTGTTTCATGAGCCATTTCGGTTTGCGGTCTCATTCTGTTATAGCACAAGCACAGAAATGCAGAAAATATGCACACTGTGAACACAATAAAGGTAAAGTACATTACTGTTCAAAAGTTTTGGGGTCAGAAAGTCTATTTATTTATTTTTTAAAGAAATTAATACTTTTATTCCGCAATCATGCATCAAATTGTGCATCAAAGATTTAATCCACAATATTTGCAATGCAAATATTACAAAATATTTCCATTCTAATCAGACATTGAAGAGTGGAGTAATGGCTGCTGAAAATTCAACTTTGCTATCACCGGAATAAATAAAATTTGAAATAGCCTATATTAAAATAGATAACAGTTGTAAAATAATTTTACAAAATCAATGTTTTTGCAGTTTTTGGATACTTGGATCACTTCTTTCAAAAACATTATCAACTTCAAACTTTTGAACGGTAGTGCGCATAATTTTTTATCATTAATTATTTGGGATAAGGCCAAATGTGTTTTTACAACAAGCTTTGAGCATAAGGTTTATTTTTATTTTATTTTTTAAACTTTATTTATAGTGTAATGGAGTTTAGACAAGAACATTTGGGTGAGAGAGGGAGAATGGGATTGCAATACGACCCAGGTCAGACTCGAAATTTTACAGTATATGTGCGCACAGCTCACTGCACCACAGCTCTGTCTTTGAATGCCATTTGACAAAAAAAGCGTAACCTTTCTTAACCGTGCCTTTTCCATAAACAGTTTATCTTGAGCGTTTACATACCTCTACGCAGAAGTGGAGCACTGAATTAGATCTCCGAGACACTTGAAAGCAAAGTATTCCTGAGTGCTGATGCGTCCAGCAGCGGTGTGGTCTGAAAGTGTCGGGTAATCTGGATTATCTGCAAAAACTGTTGTTGCAGGCAGAAATGGTGGGTTCTCTCATTTAACCTCTTTTCTCTCCAGAGGGGTTGTTTTTAATTATCAGAGGCTAACCGCCTGACCTTGGGCCGGACTCCACTCATTTGGAATCCACGGACTGTGATATGGGCTTGGCTCATATGTGCGAGAGAGGGAGGCAGGAGATATTAGTTGGTCTGCTTGTGTGTGTGTCGCTTGAAGTATGAAGACTGCGGGCGAGCGAATTGAAAAGCCCCATTTTCAGAGCCCCTCTCTCTCTAACTAAGCTGTATAGCAGCGAGTCATTTAATGCTCAAGTGGACAAAGGTATTACCTGAGTCACTGGGGTGGATCAGGCCTTTTCTCTGCAGGCCTTTCTGAAACCACATGCTGAGAGCAGCTCAACATCTCTGCCTCTCTTTTTCTTTAGCTCTCTTTAGGCCTCTCTCCGGCCCCACTAGTGTTCTATCCCCAATGGCTCCCATTTCCTCAGAGCCAGCAGCTTCAGTACACACTGTAATAGCTCTCCACTGTGTCAGATTGCTGCTTATACACCACTTTGTATGTCTGTTGATGTTAGCGCACACACGTGTTTTGAGGTAGCAGCTGATGCAGTGCTCATCTTTTGTTCCTCTTTTAAAGAATCAAAGCCAATAACCAAATTGAGGGAAGTTTGAGAAGTGTCAAATAAATGTTTTACGATACATTATATAAAAAAATGTATTACATTATATTAAATTAAATTACATTATATTATTCCCAGTATTGTGTAAAAATGTTAAACACATTAACAGAACATTAAATGCTTCACAAAAACATTTCTTTAAAGTGTTCCAGTAGAAATTTTCAATTTCAGATTTCGAAGATCAAACTATATATCAATATGTGATCTTTCACTCCTCATCTGTGAGACAGAAATAGTGGAATCTTTATTTTTGTAGCTAGATGTTAAGCATTAATAGACAGTGTTAACTCAGACTGATGATGGGATTGATAGATTGATGGGATCAACCATGCTCAGCCTTTTAGTTTTGTGGGGCAGGGGGCATGAAGCCAGCTTGTCCCGGCTGCCCTGTTCCCTGTTCGGCCATTGACTTTCAGCATAACCCTCATTAGCGCTGGCCCTGTCTGCTGTGGAGACCCTGCAGTATGGCTGGAGGAGAGGCAGAGGAGGCCCAATGGAGCCCTGCATTACATGCCCTTCAGACAGACTACCACATGTGTCCTCACACCACATCAGCAGTCTCTCTTTCTCTCCGTGTCTCTCCTTTTGTCTATTTTCACACCTTTCAGCATCAAAACACATGGCCTTAATACACAAGCCACATTGTGCACAGCTTGGTGTGATGGACACATATGAGAGTGTTGAGTGTCTTTCCCCTTCCTGCCCTTGACGATAAGAAATGAGCTACACGTCACACCTTTCTGTTAGTATTTACTGTTATATTGCAGCGTCTTTTTGGCTGAGAGCATCCAGACCGCTTTACTCCTAACCCTGTGGCTTTGACCTGTTAATCAGGCCTCACAAAAGGCAGTCTGACTGGCTCTAATTTGAAGCAAAAGCCAATTACGCTCTTTTTCCGGAACAATAAAGTTCTTCCCACGCAAGGTCAGAGTCCCTCTGCCCATCCACATCAGCAGTGGCTCGCTGTTAACAAACATCTGTCCAGCAGACTGGGCCGAAGGCTTGTTCACAAGCACACAAACTCAGTCAAATACACACACTCACAATCTCGGTCGCTTACTACCTATAGAGATACAAAAAATAGCGATTGTGTTTTTAACTTTGCGGGACAAAGGCTTTCTGTTTACTGGGCTGGCGAGCTGCGCTATCACTGTGTGAACCTAATCAGCCTGCCATTTCCGCTGTCCGTGTGCCGGCGCTTGCCCCAGGTCTACCGCAGAAGAATGACCCTTTTGTGCGGCACTAATGTGCAAGCGTTTAACTTTGGGACCGGAGAGCATTTTAGTGTTTATATCTCCTGATACATGTAGACACAAAGCACTTTGTCTGGCCTCAGGTTTTTCTGTATGAGTGGCTGAGGTGGGGCAGGCCACTAATGCTGGTGCCACTTTTTCCATTTCAGACAAATGGAGTCCTTATGTAGCCTAGTAAGGAAAGGGAAAGGAAATGAGAGCAGAGAGAGCTCGGGTACATGCGCATTAAAAAAACCTTTATGCTTTTTTTGGGGGGGTTGAAAATACAACGGCTGTGGCTGTAAAAACAAATGGATAATATCACTGGGCCACTATTTTTAGGGGAGACTGAAAAAAATGTCTTAAATGTTGGCATTGTAGATTTGGGCTTGTCAAATCATAAAGTGAGGAAAATATAGTATCACTTAGTTTGATCTAGAGTGAGAACTATTGATTTTTACATTTATGATCCAAGTATTTGTTACCTTAAGTAATTTTTTGTGTTTGTTTTTGTCAAATATGATTAAATTAATTAAATTATTTAAAAAAATGTACACTGTAAAGAAAAAAGCTGAGAGGACTAACAGATAATGTTGTGGCAGAAAATTACTTGTACCTTTTTAGGTTTACTGATATTACATTCAACCCTAAAACACAACACAATGCAATGCATACTGTAATTCAAAATGTGGTTCGAACAATCCTTGTTAAAAAAATTCCTTGATCGTTACACGGAGCCCCTTAAGGGACCTTTGCAAAACTAAAAATATACAGACTTTCACGTGCTCACGAGAAATGTATCTTGCGCGCACGAGATACGTTTCTTGTGAGCACGCGATAGTGTTAAGTTAGTTAGCAAGTATTATAACTTTATTGTCCACCAATGTGGAAATTCTCCTTTTTCAAATGTTTCATTCATATTCAATGTTTTTAGAGCTGATTTTATCTGATATTATGTCCCATGCCCTGGTTAATTTTTTTGACCCTGGTGTGATTCATCGTACTTAATGTAAGAGTCAAAAGACAATATAAGCATTTACCTGCTTGCTTATCAATATTTGCCTGAGGGAAAGCAACAGAAGTATGATTGTTTTAAGCGTCTGTGAATTATACACCCTGCTAAAACAAATATCGATAATGTTGTACGATTTGACATTCTAACCCAGGATTTTGTCTTTAATTGATCCGTTGCTTTGTTTTTTTAATGGTGCTGTTATTATTTTTTCTGCCTGGTGTGTGGGTATTAACGATGTGTTGACGTAAAAATCCTTCTCAATAGGTTATGACAGACAGTCAGTCTCAAAGCTGAAATCTAAACCTCTCACACACAGTCTCCACTCAGTGCTGATAAGTGATTGACAAGTTGCACTTCAGCATGTTGAACGAGTACCGCTGGAAGGTTGCTGATGTTAGCGAGCGTGTTGACCATGAGCCAGTGAAAATAAGCAGAAGAACATGAATTCTCTTTGTTTTCCTGTCTTAATGAATGTTTTTGTTATAGCACATATTGGAAACTCGACTAACTTGAAATTGTGTAACTTCAGGGGAACGTGCTCTGCGCCATCATAGGGGGAAGTTCAGGTGTCTCAGTACCGACTCGAAAAGGCGCCAATTCAAGTCAAAGAGGCTTACTAGAGGGAGCGATGGGAAGGAAATCAGATCTTAGAAGCAGCTAAGCTTCAGTCTGCAAATTTGGTGTGATGAGTGGAAAGACGAGTGGCTCCAAGTCTCTTGTATGCGAGCCATTGCTGTGTGGTTTTTTGGGGCTGCTGTCTCTCCCTGGATTCAGGCTTTGATATACAGTTAGACCTTTGATGGAGCTTCTATGCTGGGATGGAAAGGGGAAAAGAAAAGCAAGGGAGAGAAGAAAAGAAAGAATAAAGGCTTTGAATGGTGTCTGGCTTTGGATGTTAACGCTTGTGGGTTGTCTCCCTCCTTACAGCAACTCTACGCCGCCCAGCTGGCCAGCATGCAGGTCTCTCCAGGAGCCAAGATGCCTCCGCTGCCCCAGCCCCCCAATTCTGCCGGGCAAATCTCCCCGTCTGGCTTGAAGAACGAGAAGAGGTCCTCAACCCCCCTGGCTCAAGTCAAGGTACGGTCCCAGCCCGTTCTGATGTGCGAGTGGAGTGGTGCTTGACCTAGTCCTCTCCACTTCCTTGTTCACTAAATCAGCTGTGGTAGGTACAGCAGCGAACAAGTGAGTGAGAGCTTGCCACTGGTTCTTCTCTTGCTCTGAGCCCATCAATCTGGGCTGCTTTTACAAGGCACCCGCTCTCTCAAGCAGAACTCTGTGGACAGGGTTGCTATGGTTTTCCTTGCTCCTGGAGAGCAATTTTTGGAACACATGGTTTTTCGTGACAGAGACTGGCCCACGTTTTCCTGCGCGTTACATTTAACTTGGACAGAACTGAGGCAATGACATCAGAGGCACATAATCTAAATATATTGATGAGGCTACAATGATGTGATGACTGTCTTTTGTTTCTTTTATAAGATCAACAGTCTGGTCCTCACAGCATATAGTGCTTTTCCATCAGTCTTCACTGATATATATCATCATTTTGCTTTTTTGTGCTGCGGCTGAAACCTAAAACACTTGCACATTTGGAAAAGTTTAGTTTAATATCACAATAGAATGGGGGTAAATCATTGAGCTGAACAGTAGTGTGTGCGTAGCGCCCGTAATCCTCGTCAGTTGCTCAGCTAAGCTGCTCCTCCGGGGCTTTTGGAGCGCTGCCCTTGGAGAGCGCCGCCATATATCAACATCTCAGAGCATACGGTAAGATCATTGGCAATTACACTGAGCCAGAATTCAGAGTCGGACTGGCATTTTTAGACACTCTACTTCTGTTAATTTAGCCAACACGTGTTATTTGAGATACGCTATCTTAATATTGATCAAAGATGTTGCGCGATTTTTGCCCCGTTAACTCCATATGTAGATATGCTGTGCTTAATTAGCTAGCAATCTGTTTGTTTGTCTAGTTGAAGCGTAATTGAATGACAAACTGTTATTGGCAGTCAGATTTGTAAAGAGCTGGGGGCAGTCTCTGTATGTGGCCCATCTGTTTGGACAGTACAACACTGCCAGTGAATTTTTTTTCTAGCCTTCACAAGATGCATTAATATGATTAGATGTGCTTTTAAAGTTGTTCTGGATTGATGATGCGATTTTGACACATTATGTATTGTTTTACTCGTCAACCAGCATATACACTACCATTCAAAGGTTTTGGGGTCGGTAAGATTTCTTTTTACGTTTTTAATAGAAGAACCTTATATGCTTCTCAATGCTGCATTCATTTGATTAAAAAAAATCATTAGAACAGCAAATTTTGTGAAATATTATTACAATTAAAATCAAGTGTTTATTTTATTATATTTTAAAATGCATTCCTGTGATGGCTAAGCTGAATTTTCAGCATAATTACACCACTCTTTAGTGTCACATGATCCAACTTATTCAATCATGCTAATAAGTTGATTTGGTGCCCAATAAACATGTCTTATTATCAGCGTAGAAACTGTTGTGCTGCTTAATATTTTTGTGGAAACCATGACACAAATTAGATTTGTTCTCCTCGTAGGGATCACATTTGGTCACCACAAAGACAACAGAACACACACACACTTAATTGTAATACATTCAGCCACAACAGTAACAAGCTCTCTAGCCTGATTGCATTTGTTTGAAACAGGATGTATTAGCTGTTAACTGTTTTTCTCTGGCCTGAGAGCAGGTGAGAAGATAAAGATGTGTGCTCAGACAGAGAGGGTTTTAATTAGCCCGAACAAAGCCTGGCCCTCACTGCACCGAGAAGCTACAGCATGGCACAGAGCCTGGCTATGAATACAGAACCCATGTCTTGGAGGAGCCGGACTAATTAGTCTACAGTAATAGCCTCTGGTGCATTGTCTTTTATGTAAGGTGGAAAGCATCTCTCTATAGGACGTCCCTGTTTTAACAGAAGCTTTGTGTCTTTTATGTAGGAGGAGGGAACACAGCCTCTCAACCTCTCTGCCCGGCCCAAGACAGCTGATTCTGTCAAATCCCCCACATCCCCGACACAGATCCTCTTTCCAGGCAGCAAGAGCAGCCCGAACAGCCTGTCCAAGAGCGGAGGCATCCCCAGTCCCATCGGAGGAATGGGTCGTGGCTCTTCTCTAGGTAAATCTTTTTATTTTGCCTGCTTTTACAGTTCTATGTAGTGAAATATTTTATAATTATTAACATCCTCACAGCTGAGAGACTAATTGTATATTTCTGATTCTTTGTAGTGTGGAATCAGAGAGTGAACTTGACAAACTCCCAAATCATAATCGGTTTTAGACCCTGCCATTTTGACGCAGTAAAGAGTAACGGATGCCGTGCTGTATATTTGTTTTCAAAGCTGGTAGTTCATCTCTCATATTAAGATTTTTTTTTTAGGAAGCTGCTACTAACATTTACTAAAAACAGTCTTTCATTAAAACGACACTGTGTTGCTCATTTCCCCCCTCCTCGTGGAGTTGGGCTTTGAACACAGGCTTGGTGTTTGTTTTTCTACTATTTCCGAGATTTAACTGCCATCCCGCCTCACCTCACTTTGATCCACTAATTACAGAAAGGCGACACACACTGAGATTGCTCCCTTAGTTTCCTGCTCCCCCACACATGGAGTCCGCCACACTTACAGTGCACACGTGCAGACTGTTCACACAAGACCTCCTACAGTATATTGTGTTTCACAACACTGCCCTAAGAATATGTGCATTTGTATGTGAACCCAAGTTATTTGTCTCCGCAGACATTCTGTCCAGCCTGAACTCAACAGCGTTGTTTGGAGATCAGGATGCGGTGATGAAGGCCATCCAGGAAGCAAGGAAGATGAGGGAGCAGATACAGAGAGAGCAGCTTCAGCATCATCAGCAGGGAATGGAGGCCAAGCTGTCTGCCCTTGCCAGCATGGGCCTGAACAACTGCAGGGCTGATAAGGTGAGCGTCTTTGACACCTGTAAACTGTGTTGGGTTACTACAGGGATTTTGGATTCTGGAATCAGATTGTGAATATTAACAGATTGTGTTAGATTGGAGTATAACAAACTATTTTATTATTTGTACAAAAAAGAGCAGAGTAAATAGTTTCATAACCTACTCTTTTACCAACAACACAGAGTCTCATAGATATTTATGTATGAAAATAAGAAAAATATTTAAAAGAAAAATAAATCTTTCAGGGAGGCACATGGAAAATATAATTATGCAATACAATCATCACCAAAAAAGTACAAATCTATGTCTTTAATCCACTGTAACAAAATAATAATAATAATTTGAAAGTTAGACAATTAAACCAGGCAATTAGTAATTCGATTTTCATACAAAGCATTGTATGTGCGCCTATTTGTGTTAATAAAGTATAGTTTAAGAATATGATGCTCTTTTTTTTCTTGTCAAAATCGTACAAAATCATTCATGCATGTAAGAAATCAAAGTAATGAGATTACCTCAAAACCTACTTTTATTCATGCAATTTGTAATCAATACCAGATTCCATTGCAGAAGTATATACCCAACACAACTGACTCTTGTTCCTTGCTTTTTCGCCTGAGGGTACAACAACAGCCAAAACTCAAGGACTTGAGCCCACAGTGTTTTTTCAGACATGATCTTTAAAACCAATCAAGCTCTTTGAAGCACGTCCAGAGGAGTGCCTTTGATTGACATTGGCAGGGTAGATGGTGGATGTGTTTGCATTTGTGAGCAAGGAGGACCATCGTGGTCCTCTGGTGCCTGGCCTGTGAGGGTTCAAACTGTGATGTCTCTGCCCAATTAAAGCATACAGGCAGCCCTCTTCAGCCCCTGGTGTGGGACAGGCCCACTTTGTACCGGGAGTAGGCATTCTCTCAGGGATTCCTTTTAAAAATATCTTCAATCAATCAGTCAATCAAGGACCAGAAAAACAGACACCACTACCATCTGATTGATGCCATATTGCCAGTTGGCTGTGAGACGCAGGCAGGAACTGGGAGTGGATGCTCATTAATTTTTCATCACCTGATTACTTAAATCCAGCATCTTAAAGTAGGTCAATGTATATGTAAAAAAGTAGAGGGACTATTTTTCAATCAACTTAGAAGTCAGGGCAAAAGACATGCCCCGATGTGGGTGGCATTGAAGGAAATTCAGAGAGTGCATCCTCGATAAAGGCTGAGTTTTGGCATTTTTATATTATTGCTGCTTCTCTCAGCAATTTACAATACCTCTTTACTGCTCTATACGGTATTGTGGAAGTCATAATCCTGCTTTCTCAAACACAATGCCCAACTCTAAGCCATTATAAACGGAGATATCACCTAAGCCAGTGCATTACGCGCCATTCTTTTGAGATTTCACACTCTTTGTTCGTGTTCTTTAGAGGTGGATGCGGTATGTGAACATGCAGCCATCACCTGTGGCTGTCTCCCTCCCCACCTTTTTCCTTATTCTACCTTCACCAGCCTCAACTCATCCTCTCCTTCCCTCTTTACCTCCCAAAATTGCTCTGGGGTTAGCTCATGGTCAGCCAGACACGAGAATATGCTGCTACATGACATGAATGTTGCTCCAGCAATGGCTGAAAAGGCACGTTTGTCAACAGGCAGCACACACCTATGGCTGCATTGTTCTTAGCAGGCCAAGCTTAACGCTTTTTTTCTCCTATTCTTTTGTCTGGCTTGGGTTTTGTCTTCACACGATTGTAAGGCCGTGCCTTTTAACATGGTTATGTGGACATCTCGGCTCAGGTGAGCTTTATGTGTTTTTCTAAGTGGGGAGGAAATCAGTTTGGAGGTGGCCTCTCTCTCCACCTCCCCCAGAGCAAAAAGACATTAAGCTTGTGGCTAAATGTGTTTTCCCTAAAGGACTTTGATGTAAGGGCAAGGTAATTCTAGGCAGCCAGCGGCGCAAAGAAAGGGGCAAAGGAGGGAACGACAAATAATAATTAGGTGCTCTATCAGTGGGAAAATATGACCGGTATGCTTGGGTTATCATTGTTGCTATAGGTTACAGAGCACATCACAAAGACTCCCTCGTTTTTATTTGCAAAGACTTTCTCGTTCTTTATTTCTTACTTTCCATCTGAGTTTTCAGTTGCTCCCATATCTGAGAATGCAAGTTTATGACCTTAAAATGTGATGGAAGAAAACGGCAGGCCTCTTTTGTACTGTAGCCTCGCTCAGAAGACTGTCTGCATCTGATGATATCATAAAGGCCGATCCACCTCAGCCTGTTGCTAAGCCAAACAGACGTATTGATGTCGCAAACAACCAGAGGCCAAACAGGAGCTGTATTTTCCTCCTCATATGTTCCAGATGTCTCTGAAGTTCAAACGAATAGAACTGAGCTAATTCTAATGAAGACATTCATTATTCAAAGCATAATATGAAGAATATCCCTCATTTTTCAATATTGGTACTAGGGCTGATTCAAAATTGTAATCGAAAATCGAAAAATATCTGATTAATTAAATCAGATTAATCAGAATTAATTGTGTATATTTGCTGAGAAAGCACTAAAATAAAGATAATTTTAATACATCATATTTTGGTCATTAAAAAAATATTTGCTTTGTATTGTTGCTTTTTGTTTTTATTTATTTAAATCTTTTAGTTGAGACTCAGGGGCTGTTCACATACTGTAGGACATGCTCTTACATTTGTCTGCAATGTTTCAATTGTTATATTTAATTTAATTAAAATTTTGTTCTGTGTACACGTGCAGACTGACATCTTTGGATGTTTTTCTTTTTTTTTCATCTCACTTTTAATTTCTTTAAAGACGCTGCATAAATTTAGGTATTACATTTAAGTATTTTATCTTTGAAAAATGTCTAGGTTTCCTCTCGGCTCTTTGTGTTTTCCTCTTGGCTCATTGCTCAATTTGCGCAGTTAATGCATAGATCAGGGGTATGATTATTATTATTATTTTTTATTATTATTATTGTATTTTTTATTATTAGTCAATAAATTGGCTGGTCTAATTGTTTCCTATCATCTTAGAACGCTTCATTGATACCTAAAAGCCAGTTGCAAAGTTAAGGCCACGTAATGCCCTCTAGCCATATGTTTCTGAGGGGACACTTTACATGTCATGGGAAGAGCTACTACAGCCATGTACAAAACGGTAATGAACCGCCCGCTGTATATCACCCAGCGCTGCCAGCAGTCAGGCAGTTGGCCTGTGCCTGCTGCTCGCGCCTAACAGACGAAAAAAAAAAGGCCTCTAAGTGTTCCAGATAAAAGCTTTCACTTTGGTCAGTTTCAGAATATTAATATTTCAGCACATCGCCTCACCTGACATAAATACTGAACGCCCTTTAATAACTGCCTTCCAGTCTGCTGTTTGGAAGTTTATCATAGTGAAAGCTTACGTGGAAGATTCTGGAAAGGTAACATAAATGGGATTAAGGAGAGGTTAAAATCATCTACTGGGGCTGTTGGTAGGGGATATTAAATATTGATTTATCCCGGTGTAACGACTGAGCTGAAGAGTGAGGCTAAGTGCTGCTTACAGATGGATCAATTCATCTTTTAATACAAAGTGTGTCCGTAGAACACAATGGAATGACCTGCATTCCTTTTTCTCTCACAAAGAGCCATTTCACTCTCTCTGAGATGGAAGAGCGTCTCCTTTGAGTCTCCTGTCTTTTAGGTGCATGTGTAAAATATTCATGTTTTAGTGTTTGCTTGCTTGTTTTCTATTTGTATTTCTTTCCCTTTGATGTCCCATAAGTAAAAGAAAGCTTTTATGGGACCTCCAACAATTTGCCTTTTTTTTTCAAATATTTATTAAAAGTATTATTGTCTACAGAGGGCAGTTATACTATTTTATTATTTATTCCCTGTTCAAGTACTTTTTTTTTCTCCCTGGAAAGGACACTGCATTGTGCATTTCTACATCAGTTTTGTGCACTAGTTTTAAACTACTTTGTTTGATTTTACATTTTCAAATTGAATTTCACAAACCATCTAATGATGAGGTTCCATCTGGAAAGAGCCCAGATTTTGATTTCAGATATTTCGCCCTTGCTAATAACCTACTTTTTGACAGATGTTGCAGTCCGATGGGGTCTGGCAAAGAGATAAAATATATTCTTGTGCTGACACTTCCCAAACTGGAATCAAAGGGTGAAAGGCCAGTGTATTAACCTATTGAGCATCCGCTGGCCTCCCTGCCCCCTCCTCTCACCTACATTATTGATGAGTGGAATATTCACTTTTCTCAAATCCCAGAGCACAGGGCCACAAACATTTAAATGGAGCTTTGCTCACTCTCCTCGAAATCCTCACCCCCTACCTTTAGACCCGAAGCCAATGTTTGCTCTCGTCCCCTCCCCGTGTGTGTGTTAGGGGCCTATTCACGCTTCCCTTTACAAAGACTTGGGGTATAATCTTGTCTGGTCTGCAGCCCTGGAAGCAATTTTCTACCCCTTTTTCTGCTGCTTTCTTGGAAATTGCCAGCATAGGTTATTTTTGGCCGCAAAGCAAATCCTGCCGTACATGGCTTTGGCCGTCCAAAATTTGATTATATTCTGAACTCAAGCACGCCCCATAGCAAGCAAATCCCATTGTTGAGTATTGCTTACATTAATTCTTTGTTCCATTTGTTTGGGTATATAAATAGCATCTTTTTCGGCAACATGTGAAGGTAGGCGCACTTCTCGAGCTAGATCTGAAACAATGCCATGCACTTACTCTTCCACTTTTTTCTTGCTTAGGTAAGACATGACTGAAGCTCAAATGATTTTACACTGTGGTTGCGTAAAATCACACAAATGGCCAAAACAGGGCAGTCATTCAAAAATGCAACGAGGCCCTATTCTCCAAACCTGCGCAGCTCTGCTTACGCCAGATATCCCGCAACAAAGCCGGCGTAAAGAATAGGCTACAATGGGTCATTTATGTGGCACCATATTGGGACAAAATCCCTCCGAACAGGTGCATAAAGAACCCTCT